CAATAAGATATATTAAGAAAAAGAAAGAAAGAAAGGAAAGGGAAGGGAAGGGGAAGGGGAGGGGGAGGGGGAGGGGGAAGGGGAGGGGAGGGAAAGGGAAGGGAAGGGAAAGGAAAAAGAAGGCCCCCAAAAGACAAATACAGTTGAGATCACTTATATGGGATCCCTACAGTAGTCACAATTATAGAGACAGAAAGTGGAATGGTGGGTGCCAGGGGCTTGTTGGGGAGGGGAGAATGGGGACACTGTTTAATGGGGGCGGGGTTTTCGTTTTCCAAGATGAGAAAGTTCTAGAGATGGATGGTGGTAAGGGTTGCATGACAATGTGAATGTAATAAATAGTAAATTTTATGCTTAAAAAAAAAAAAAAAAAGACAGTCATAAAAATAGATGCTTCAAATACATCGGTTCTTAGACCCCAGAAAAATCTGTACCATGAAACCTTAAGTTATTATCTAGCTTTTCATTAAGGGCTTTTTGGCACACTTAATATGTGTGGCCAAGAGGGTGGAGTAATGAACCAGATGCCTGCTGTATATGAATAACGAATTTGAATCTCATTGCTGTGTTAATTTTATTCCATACCTCAGCCCCTTTCAGTCAGGGGTTAAAAAATCACTTCAATAACTTACTGGTGCTCTGCTTTGTGGGAGAAAGGGGTGAGGGTATCTTACAGAAATAGTCTGTACTATCACTTCACCTTTTTTACTCTGCTCATGCACGTATCTGAACATTGCATAAAAGTCAAGAGAAACTCTGTATCCTTTCTTGGTGGGATTTTTTCATCCTTTTTATTTTCCCATTTGATGACAAATATGTGAGTCATGCTTTAGTTTCTTGAAAATATTAATGATATAAAACTGCAGTAGTAATGATTAAGCTTAAATTAGTGTGTGGATTTCATATTTGTGAGATATTTGTTAATGCTTTTCTACCCTCTGCAGCCTTTTGTACTGAAGAGAAGGGCGTGTTCGCTTTGTTCTAAGGCAATGTGAATGCATTTAAAAGCTCGAGTAAATTTACATGTGTTTGTGATTGGGTTTTTCTTTTCTAGGTAGGACACTATTGGAGGACTGATGTTAATATTTTAAGAATGAGTGATGAACACAGGTGTCCCAATGCTTTGCTTTTGGATCTGTGTGATTACATGATATCCCAAGGTCTCTGAGCAGGTCCTTGATCAATATTCAGTGCTTTTCTTTGTGGTAGGGACTGGAATTCAGGCACATTTCTTCTCTGATGTTCATGCTCTTGATTACCGTGTGCCTCTATATCCTTGACAAACAATTCTGTTCTAAATAACATTTTGCCTTTTGACTTCAATTTTCATTTGTAGCCTGAATTACCCTCCAGGAAAGTTTGGGTTCCTTTAAGAAAATCCAGAGTTCACATTGAAGATTAATGGCATATACACTGAGTGGCCAGATTATTATGATCTCTAAATGCATAATAATCTGGCCACTCAGTGTATATCCTCCTATATAATAAAAGGCTAATATGCAAATTTTTCTCCTCGACCAGGAGTTAAACCAGCAGGCAGGCCAGCCAGCCGCCCATGTCCCCTCCCCATGGCCAGACCCCAACCATGCATGAATTCATGCACCGGGCCTCTAATGTTGAACACTTAGTTTATTAATATTAATTGCAGTGATCACCTTTGTGTATTTTAAGATTTTAGGGAATGTGTTGGTTGAATTATTTAAGATAGATTTTTAGTGTTGAGTAAAATACTTTATCAAAAGATTTGAGCATCTTCATAACATAACTACTTAGTGTTGCATTGCTATTCAAAAGAGAATCAGTATAGCATTTAAGGCAATGGGGATATGTGCCAATTTACCATAATTTTGGCATCAAGATATTTGTGATACCTTAGGAGATGTATAGGGTATCTGAGAAAGAAGATGGACAGTTTCCCAGTGTTCACTCACTGAAGTATAACTGGTACCAGAGGCCTGGTTCACAAAATTTGTGCAAGGGTAGGGAGGTCCCCTCAGCCCACCCTTTTCAATCCGGGACCCCTGGCTCCTAACTGCTTGCCAGCCGGCCTGGTCACCCCACGCAACTGCTGTTCAGTCGTGTGGTCGTCCCTCACTAATCCTCTGCCATCCTGGTGGCTCCATGCAGCCTGCTGTTGGTTCGTCCATCTGTTTTTTTTGTTTGTTTGTTTTTCGGTTGTGTTGGCCCATGGCTTTTTATATCTTAGGATGTCTTACCTATTTATATGCTATTTTGACCTAATTTTTTTGATAATTTGTATTCAAACTTTTACGTTATCTTCCCTTTCTTGATACTTGTCTATGACTGCTCTCTGATCCTTTGGTGTTTTTCTCCTGTGGTTGAAAAGATAAAAATGAAATTGAGCAATATTTAATAGAATTTCAGCTCAAAATATTGGCTTTGTGCCTAGGCAGTGTGCCTCAGGGATTGAGCATCGACCTATGAACCAGGGAGTCACAGTTCAATTCTCGGTCAGGGCACATGCTCGATTGTGGGCTCCATCCCATGTGCGGGAGGCAGCTGATTAATGATTCTCATCATTGATGTTTCTATCTCCCTTCCTTTCTGAAATTAACTTAAAAAAAAAAGAAAATATTGGCTTTAGTATGCAGGAAGGAGAACTTCAGAACATCCCCTAAGTCATTCTAAATGTAAGGTGACAAGGAATATAGCCATACTGTGGTATTCCACAGTACACAGAGCTGAGGGATAACTGCTTCTGTGGCTTTATTGCCTACTAGAGGCCCGGTGCTTAAAATGTGTGCACTGGGGGAGGAGGGTTCGTAAGCCTGGCCTGTTCCCTCTCACATCTGGGGGCCCTTTGATAGATCACCTCCAAGAGGTAAGCCCTGCCCACCTGCTGCAACACTGCCACAGGGTAGCCTTGGTCTCCCTCTTGGGGGCAATTGATTGCGGGGCTTCGTGTGGATCACCCCAAAGAGGTAGAACCTGCTCACCAGCTGGGCTCTGTGGTGGATTGTCCTGCAGAGGGAAGCCCCACCCACCCACCCACCAGTCGGTGGCCTGGGCCTCCCTCTTTGGGGTGATTGTGGAATCCCCTGATTGATTGATCACCCTGCCAAGGTGGTGGCCTGGGACTCCCTTTGCAGGGTGATCATGGGGTGATGGCCGGGCCCCTGACCAATTGCATTGCACCTGCCTTGGCTGGCCTGGCACTAGTGGATGTCGAAGCGTGGTTGTCTGGATGGTTGTTCCGCTGTTTGGCCGTTTGGTCAACTTGCCTATTGCACCTTTACTATAGACTAGAGGCCTAGTGCACGAAATTTGTGCATAGGGATGGGGGTGTCCCTCAGCCCAACCTGCACCCTCTCCAATCTGGGAACCCTCAGGAGATGTCCAACTGCCTGTGTAGGTCTGATCCATCCCTCTCACAATCCAGAACTGTTGGCTCCCAACTGCTCGCCTGCCAGCCTGATTGATGTCTAACTGCTCTCCTGCCAGCCCGATCGTCCCCAACTGATCTCCCCTGACAACCTAGTCACCCCCGAATATCCTCCCCCACATATTCCCTTTTTATTAAATAGGGTTTTTTTCTTTAACATATTGGACAGCCCTAACTGGTTTGGCTAGGTTGTTTGAGCATCTACTTGCAGACTCAAGGGTCACAGGTTTGATTCCAGTCAAGGGCAAAAACCTTGGTTGGGGCCACATGCCCAGTGGGGAGTGTGCAGGAAGCAGCTGATTGATGTTTCTCTCTCTCTCTCTCTCTTTTTTTTTTTTTTAAGAAACATTTAAGATTCCTCCATATCTGCCTGGCCGGTGTGGCTCAGTGGTTGAGACCCCAGGCTGCATCTGCTGGGAGGGGGCTGGGGCCGTGAGGAGGGAATTTGTTTTTGTTTTTCATAAAGGGTCAGGAGAGACTCTGGCCAGGATACTGCCAGGCTGTTTACTCTGCAGGCTCTCAGCAGCAGCCCTCTCTGAGACTGGGGGACTCCCGCAGGGCTGAGAGGACTGGGCACCGCCCATCTTGTGGGCGACACCATTTTTGTGGCGGAGTGATGGTTAATTTGCATATTACTCTTTTATTAAATAGGATACTTCAGAAACTCCATCCTATCCCTTCTGAGCCTCGTAAATATATAATTCATTTCAAAATATTTAAATGAAAACTTTTCATATTCTTTCCACCCTCCTTTTAAAAAAATTTTTACTGTTACTAAGCACATATTAGATTTGTATAGTCCAAAGAAAATAGTTAATACCTGATAACATTGGGTAATTAGTTATTCATTGATATTTTATTGGTTTTTTATTTTTAACAAATATAAATGTATTTTTGAACAAATTATAGTTTTCTGGAAACAGACTTTTCAGCAAACACTGTGAAGTTAAGCAGAAATAAGTAATTTAAATTTCCTCTTATTTGATTCCGTACTGAACTTAAATATTCTTCTTGACCTTTAGTTGAAGATTCTTATTATTTACTATGTAATTGTTTTTGCTAAGCTTCTGTCCCATTGAATTGTTTAGGTCAGCCATTGCCAACCTGTGGTTCATGGACCACCAGTGGTCCCCGAGGCACTTATTACTATTAATCTGGTAAATGTTATGTTTTTGCACATCCACTGCTCCCAAAGGAAAAGCTAATTGTTCTCTTTTTTTGTTGTTGTCATACAAATTTTTTTAAAAATATATTTTATTGATTTTTCACAGAAAGGAAGAGAGAGGGATAGAGAGTTAGAAACGTCGATGAGAGAGAATCATCGACCAGCTGCCTCTTGCACACCCCCTACTGGGGATGTGCCCGCAACCAAGGTACATGCCCTTGACCGGAATCGAACCTGGGACCTTTCAGTCTGCAGACCGACGCTCTACCACTGAGCCAAACAGGTGCCGGCTTGTCATACAAATTTTGTTTTTCAAGTTGTTCATTAGAAATTTTATGTATTTTATTTAAATGAAATGGTGCTATGTTTCAGACTGGGTGGTGTTGGTTAAATGTTGTTGTAGTATATTTTTGTTTTCTTTTCCTTACTCAGACTGAGTCTGTTTCTCAGCCACTGGAAAACCATGGTGCCTCTGGTCATCCTTCAGAGTCATTATCTACCAAATCATATGGAGCATTGAGACCTGTCAATGGAGTTATTAATACGTAAGTTATCTCTTCCACTTCTCACACTCAGTATGCTTGTAAAAGAGTTCTTAGTTATTCCTAGCCAGGACTAACCCTGGTTTAAACACAGAAACCTCATCACATAATAATATTGTGCACGTCTTCTTCTGTAGCAACTATAATTAGCATGCTAATGTATTTCCCTTTTACTTACGCCTAAAATTGACTCATCGTGTAGAAAAGTGAAAGGTCCTACAATTATTGTGATTGGTCATAGCATTGGTAGAATTCCTCAGAAGTATTTACATAAAATCCTCTATTCTAGAACAAATTAAATTCTGATGCTGGCATCAGGAGATGAACTCCTTCTGCTTCAGAATACTTGTGTGTGTCTGTGGACATTTACAAGAGGAGGTTGAATCAGTATTAAAGGCTTTGTTTCCTTGAGTCTTCTGAAAACTGAATGTTATTTCTTCCTCTTGTGTAGTCTGCAGCCTGTCTTGGCAGACCACATTCCAGGTGACAACTCTGATGCTGAGGAACAATTACATAAAAAACAACGACTGAATCTAGTTTCTTCATCAACTGATGGCACCTGTGTGGCAGCCCGAACACGTCCTTTGCTAAGCTGCAAGAAACGGAGGCTTGTTCGACCCAACAGCATTGTTCCTCTTTCCAAGAAGGTCAGTACCAGTGAGGTTTGATCATTATTAAACCATGAGCCAGATGCTCAGATAGAAGTATTAGCCTTTTGCCAGCTTTGCTTCATTTAACTAGTGTTTTCCAAACTTGGCCAACCACCAAGGTTTCCTGGGAAGTTTTAAAAAATACTAGACTCCTTAACCCTGTTTCCCAGAGATTCTGATTCACTTGCTATTGAGTTGGACCTGGAAATCTTGTGTGTGTTTTGTGTGTGTGTGTGTGTGTGTGTGTGTGTGTATGTGTGTGTGTGTGTTTAATATATATTGATTTTTCACAGAGAGGAAGGGAGAGAGATAGAGATCTAGAAACATCAATGAGAGAGATAGATCGACCAGCTGCCCCCTGTACACACCCCACCAGGGATGTGCCCGCAACCAATGTACATGTCCTGGGACCTTTCAGTCCGCAGGCCGATGCTCTATCCACTGAGCCAAACCGGTTTCGGCGAAATCTTGTTTTTAAAAGAGGAAAAACTCCTATGTGATTCTTCAGCCAGGTTTGGAAACCATTGGCTTGAGATTTTTAATTCAAATGGGAGAGAGGAAGTTGAAATACTGCCATCAACATTTTGAAAAACATTGGTGTGTCTTTTCATTTGTACTGGCAACCCTAAAAATGGCAATGTGGAATGCTTTTCTTTTAAATACGAGTTTGCATTAAAATTTCTAAATTGGTTGCTAAATGAAATTGGTTCCCTGTTTTAACAGGGAAAATGGAAATTGATTCACAACTATAGGAAGTTTGATTGCTGACTCTTCAAATAGCAAAGTTGGATTTATTTCAAAACTAATGAAATAATTAATACTCCAGTAAAATTAATGTCATGTAATGGTTTAGAATATTAACTTTGAACAGGATAAACTTATGTTAAAATCATGGCATTGCCACTAGTTTTATGATTTGGGGCAAGTTGATACTTCCTCCAATACCCCTACTCCCAGCCTCTGAGATCTCATAGGCTTGTTTGAGGGTTAAATGAAATGCATGTAACTTATTGGGATGTCTGGCTCATAAGTTACTAGTACAGAGTGGCTGTTGCTAATATTATTTGTTTTTGTTTGTTCATTCTCTCATCCAAAAATATTTATTGAGCTCCTACAATGAGCTATATGTGTTCTGTGTGCTGGGAATACACTAAACAAAAACACAAAAATCCTTAATCTCATGAAAAAAATAATAAATGAAGTTTACATTATGTCCTATAATGTTAGGTGCTGGGGGGAAAAAATGCAGCAGTGGAAAGGAATGAGGAACATCTGGTTGCTCTGGTGGAATTAAGCCTTGAGCATTCCAAAGCTTGTAGATAAGAAAGATAAGAGAGTAGGAGGAAAGAGTGGAGTGACTGGTGCAGTAGAAGGAAAACTAAGTGTGGTGTGTGGAAGGCCAGTGAAGAAAGTGTTTCAGAGAGGAAGGAAAGATCATCTCTCAGGTGCTGCAGACAGGTCAAGCTAGAAAAAATGAGATTTGACCATTAGATATGATGGAAGCCAGGCTTGTTGGAGAACTTTATGAGCAGTTTTGTTAGAGGGAGAACAGTGAATTCTGAGAGATTGGGGGCGGGGAAGGAATTGAAGAAACTTGTAGATAATACTGTCAAAGCATGTTTTCTGTCAAGGTAGGCAAAGAAATAGCCTGTTTTAAGGGGAACTTTAAGAGAGAGCTGTTACAATATTTTTGCTGATGAGAAAAACTGTAATGATCAAGGAGAGGATAGAAAATTGTTGGAACCATTAATATTTGGACAGTGGATTTTCAGTACTTAGCTTATTTTGTTATAGTATGTATTTAAACTATTATATATAATGTTACCATGATTTTTTTTTTAAAGAAAAGTATTATAAGTGAAAATTAACTGTCAGGCTGTACCATTTCTCTTGTTTATTCTTCAGACTGCCTGAACTACCAAAATATCAGAAAAGAATAAGATATTTTGCAGGTTTCTCATTATTATTTGAAGGTACAATACATTTTTAAAAAATAGTTGAGGCAAGGAGAAGACGCACAGAGCATACTAAAGACCCTTTGATTCCAATACCAATTTCTAAAACAATCATCCTGTCCTCTGTCCTGGCCAGTTGGCTCAGTTGATTGGAACATTGTCTTGTTTGTCCCATACACCAAAAGCTTGTGAATCTGATTCCCGGTGAGGGCACATAAGTGGTTTGAAGGTTCATCTGAATCTGCAACTGATTGTTTCTCACATTGATGTTTCTCTCCTCCTTTTTCCTTTCCTACCCCTCCCTTCCTCCTTAAAAACAATAAACATATCCTTGGGTGGTAAATAAATAAGTAAAATAAATAAAACAATCATCCTGGCATATGCAAAAGTAAGCTGCATGGAAAATAAAACAAATACATAAATTGAGTTTGGAAAATAAACCATTTGCTGATTATAGCAGAAATACTGGAGTTCTGAAACAAAGAACTCCAAAGTCGGAAACAAAGGCCATTCTCTCTATCTTGGTTGTTTACCAGTATCAGTGATCTTTGCTATTGAGTAAGCATCTTGCCTTCTGTCATCTTTAGGTGTTATATTTGGGTTATTTCCCTATATCATGATTTCATGGTAATATAAAGACTGATCATTATAAATTGTCTATATTACTACTTATATTCATCACTTTAAAGGTCTAATATTAATATGTTAGATATTAGTGAATTAGCTAAGCCAATAAGAAATATTCAAGTGGGAAGTTTTTATAATATATATCATGTTTATTTTGTGCCCTGCTGGTTCTGTAAGGTAGATATTTATGACTTAATCTAAAACGTTAGTTTCTAGATAGTGAGATTTTATTTTTTTTAATATATTTTATTGATTTTTTTTTTTTTTACAGAGAGGAATAGAGAGTTAGAAACATTGATGAGAGAGAAACATTGATCAGCTGCCTCTTGCACACCCCTTACCTGGGGATGTGCCCGTAACCAAGGTACATGCTCTTGACCGGAATCGAACCTGGGCCCTTTCAGTCCGCAGATCAACGCTCTATTCACTGAGCCAAACCGGTTTTGACAATAGTGAGATTTTTTAAAAATTAAGTCTGGGACCAGTGTGGGGTTGCTTTTTATTTTTTCAAGTGAATGCGTATATATAAATTGGGTAAATCATATTACAGATGATATTTTTATTTTTATTTTTTTTAATTTATTTATTTTTTAACATATTTTATTGATTTTTTACAGAGAGGAAGGGAGAGGGATAGAGAGTTAGAAACATTGATGAGAGAGAAACATGGATCAGCTGCCTTTTGCACACCCCCCACTGGGGATGTGCCCGCAACCAAGGTACATGCCCTTGACCGGAATCGAACCTGCGACCTTTCAGTCCGCAGACCGACGCTCTACCACTGAGCCAAACCAGTTTCGGCAACAGATGATATTTTTAAAAGAAAAAACAATGTGCCTTGAAATTTTGGGGTTGGATTTAGCACTTTTTAATTTTTAAAAAATAGCATTTCTAATCAAATGGTTTGGCAATGTTCTGGCATGTTTTTAAAATTTCATAGTCTATTGGAAGAGTATAATTATATAGGAAGATTGCTTTGGGATAAATTTTCAAGTTAGCTTCTGTAGAATTCCCAGTGGGTGTCCACTTTTTCCTCTTACATCACACTTGACATATAGGACATTCTCTTAAGGCCATTGCCATGATATTTATGGTTGAGGACTAAAGAACCAAAATAATTATGAATTTGTATTAAAAGTGAATAATTTTATATCAAGTGGGATGTGTTCTTTATTGATAGGGGATTCCTGTGATAGAGTTTGGAGGCCCAACTTTGCAGTACTAATCTTTTGGGAAGGAGAGAGAGTGCCATGTGGGAAATTGTAGTTTCTTAGGAATTAAAGCTACCGAGAATACTCAGAAATCACCCAGTGCTTAGAGCACCAACCTTTAAACTTTTATGAGTCTTTTATAAATGCACTATACAATTTGAAAAATTGAGATTAAATAAATAAAAGTAGAAACACTAATGAACTGTCCTCAAGACAAAGGAATTTGTAATGCTTTTAACTAATATTTTGTGATTTATAGAGAATGATGAATATAGTCTTACATTTTTGTATTTTTTCATACATAATTTTATAGAAAACATTCTTAATTGTTAAATCCCTATATCAGTGGTTATATCCATTTCTTACTCTTATTTATATTTAGTCTTCTTTCCTGAATAACCTTTTCAGCAGTTTTTCTATTTTATTACTCATTTCAAAGATCATTTCTTTGCTGTTAATACCTTCTTCCTGTGGTTTTCTCACTCCCCCTACCTTTTTTTGCCTTTATTCAGATGGCTTAGTTAATTTTCCTTTCTTTTATTATAATAATAAAATCATTTAACTTTTAAAATTTTTTTCTAAGGGTAGTTTTGGATGGCATTCCACAGCCTTTGATGTGGGAAGTATTCCTTTTGCTATTTGTAGATTGCCTTTGAGTTTTTTAGTTAATTTTCTTAAGAGTTAAGAAGTGAGTTTCCAAATTCTAAATGGTTAGTTTTTTTCTTTTGAAATGTTTTGTTATTAATTACTAATTTTTATAGCATTTTGATCAACTTCTTCTTGGCCTTTGGCTAAGATCAAGTGTATATAGTATAGCATTTTGGTTGGTAAAAATGTTTTATGACTTTCTGTTAATATTTATAGCTCATTATGTTTTTTTTTTTAATTTTCATTATTGTCTAGTATAAAATTCTATATAATCATGCCCTCATAGTTACAGTTTCTTTTTTCAGTGGTGGTTTTTGTCTTACATTCAGCTTTTTTTTTTATATATCAATGTTATACAGTATATGCATTTTTCTCATTCATTTACTTTTAGAATTTTGTATTCTGTGTGTTTTTTGAAACATCATAGAAGCAGACTTAGGTGTTTCTTTTAAATCCCTTAAAAATATTTTTTATTAAATATAGAGACTAGTTTTAATTTTATATTCACTTTTGAAACTAAATTTAAAGGCTTTTTTTTACTGTAACACTTTATTAC